AAAAGTCATCATATATAGAAACTGTGCACTAAAGTGTAATCATTTAATGGCCCAATAATACTTTTGAATGTTATTGAATCTGAGTGCCGGAGAAATTTATTGCAAGTTTAAACTGATGACAACATATAGTCTCATCATGATGGACACCTCGTAGCCTATCATCCTGCCGCATCTAAGTAGTTTATTATCTGGATGGAGAGACACAATGTACACCTGAGTACAGTCTTAAATTAAGAAATACTTCTCTCTAGGCTGGGGATGTAGCTCAGTGGTTCTGCCGCCTGCCCCATAAGTGCAAGGTCCCGAGTCTGATCCCCGGTACCAAAAGAAAAAAAGAAAGAAATAAATACTCCTCTCTGTGACTGTATACATATACATAATTGTTTCATTCTTTCCTTTTCCATTTTGTCTGCATCATCTGGAAGACTTAGCTTTATGTTTCATATTATAGCAAAAGAAAAAAGAGCAAGAAATAGCAGCCAGTTTAAGGTGGGCAAGTTCACAGTCTAGATACCCAGAGGAGGCCTTTAGTTCCCCGCTGTTTCTTGGATGGAGATAACCTCATATTATTGACCCAGAAATGTCATATGGGCCCAGGGCATCAGCATGTAGCTGTACCTCTCAGTAAGTTCATGACCACTCCTCCCCCCCCACACCGCAAAAAATGACTCAACATGCATGCCCTCCAGACAAGGAATCATTCTCATTGTCTTGCCTACTGAGGACCAACCCTTACTAAATCAGACAGCCACTAAGTGCAGCTGAAATTGAATTCAGTGTAATTTGAAAATATTCTGTTTACTTAAAGCCCAGAAGCCTGGCGTGTGAAGAAGAATCCAGGGACAGGCAATGGTAGTTAAATTTGTACATTTTTCTTTCTTGTTTCAATTTTATCTTTTCTGAGCAATTTAATGAAGACTCCAGAGGAAAGAATTAAATGTCTGCTGGTTCAATTATTGAATAATGAAAAGGTCGAAAGGAGCACCATGCACTGTGTGCTGAGCTGCTACATCAGCCTATTCTTAGAGTAAAAATCATTTTTGTGTTGTTCACAGTTGCATTTTGCCACCCACAAACTGTACAGACAAGCACTGGGGAGAGAAGCTGAAACCATGAGCTGGTACAGATCATCCTACACAGGGTGGAAGGGCCTTGTCCTGCAGGGAGCATCTCATGATACCCACAGCAGGAGCCAAAAGTAGTGTGGAGGCCATGGTTACCAACAGAAGGAATCAGGCTGTTCTAAGACCACAGTTTGAAAAGATTCTAATCACTCAGCCCAGAGTACATTTTTAAACAGCCTGTCGTTAGGATCACAGGAAGGCCTTGAGGAGAAAACAGATTGAGCACCAAGGATTTCAAGGGCTCCCAAGAGCACTGGGAAAGCCACCCCTGCAACCAACTCACCACTGCTGTACGCAGCAAAGAAAGATCACGGCAACACAAATGTTCTATGATGCTTTGGGATTCATTAGAACATTAGTTTGCTTTTTTAAACATAATTTATTTTAAATCTAAATTTTTCAAATTTTTAATTGACAATTGCATGTATTTTTGGAATACAGTGTAGAATTTTAATATAATATATAATGATGAGACCAGGTAAATGACATATCTATCACCTCAAACATTTACAATTTATGCCGGGGCATTCAAAATCCTCTCCACTTAGCTAATTTGAAATATAAGATTAATCATTGCCAACCACAGTTATGCTACTGTACTGTAGAATATTACTAGTATTTACTTTTATCTAATTGTATCCTTGTAACCCTTGAACATACTCTATCTTCCCATCATCCCTTCCCAAATATTAAATTCGCTGTTCCAAACATCAGCCCTCCCTGGCATACTCTGTAAGAGGAGAAGTAGTTAGGTACTGACTCTTTTCGCCTTGACAACAGTGAGAGGTCTCTCCATGCATGCTGGTGCCCAGTCCTGCAACACCACCAATACACACTGACACTGACACTCAATGAATAAGTCACTGTACAGCTTCTGTTCAGCTTCTTCTTCCCACTGTTAGGGAATCACACTGAAATGTTCTGATAAGCTGTGGTTGAATATAATTGAGCCATAATGAAAACTATGTGTTTATATTTATCAACCTGTATGCAAATAGATGAATGACTTACATAAATGTATGTCTGTACATATACGAATATGTACACATTCATGTGTGTATACACTGGTGAGTTATCAAGAAGAAATGAAAATGACAGGATAAACAGTAAGCTACTCTAGGTAAAGAGAATTTGCATAGTTTTAAATTTTGTCAATACTTTTGAAATTCTTTCTAAATAAAGTTTTAAATTTTTGTTTTTTCCTTTTCTTCCTTTTTATATTGGCTTCTTGCATGAGGTCTTTATGATTTTACAGAAACCACACTCTGAGTAAAAGGGTCCAAAGGACTGGGGCCACCCTGTGAGAAGGCAAAATACCCACTGATGTGCTTAACCAAAATGAAAACTGTCTTGGAGTAACCACTCACACACAGGGCCCTAGAACAGCTCCTCCCGTGGTGGGCTGGAAGTTACTGAGATTTTATGCTTAGGTTGCAGATAGGAGTATGGCTATAGGATGAAAGGATACCTCTAGATAATTTTTTATTCTCTTTCCTTAAAATTTGACAATTGAGGATTTACATTTTCTACTCTTTCTTAAATCACTTTAAGATGAGATAAGATATACAAAAAGAAAATCCCTAGAGCACGTATGCCACTCTTTGGGCCAGGGCTTTTTTATAAAATGCAAGAGCATCAGTTGTTTAAGAGAGCAGAAACTCTCATTTGAATCTTTAGTGTTTCTCCTGTACTCTCCAGCAACAGAGCTACAGGGTACAACTTGGAACGAAAACAGGAAGAAATGAACAAGCACCACTTGGACTCATCTCTTCATCCCCAAGAACGCATTTCAAGGACTGAGCAGAGGGAGGGAGGCATTTTTATCCTCAGTGTTCATTCTATACGAATTCATACTTCTGATATGAAATTGTAAGCTTTATTAGGACCATTGGGAAAGAAAAATGTAAAATACAAACCGTGATAAGGTATTCGATGTATATATAACTTACATTGGATTAGTATCTGCAAGGCAGAATTCATTCTGACAAATGAATGAGATTCAATTCAAAAGGAAAATTGTAAAAACAAAAAAAAAACAACAAAACTTGAATAGGCATTTTACAGAAGGGAAAGCACAAATGGTCAAGATCATTGCAAAGATGCTTCAAGTCATTAGTAAATGAAAAATACAAATGAAAACCACAAACATCATGTCGTAGACACCAGATTGGCCCGCATTTCTGAGCCTCACAACACTGAAGTGCCAACAAAGATAAAAAACAAAAAACAACAAGACTTTCACAGAGTAGAAATCAGCTCAATCACTTTGGGGAAATAATTGGCATTATAGAGAAAAGCTGAAACTTTGCAGGCCCGGTGACCCAATAACTCCACTCCTCAGGTATGTGCCTGAGAGATTCCACCCAAAATGCAGCATGGGTTGTGCATAAGAATATTAATAATAATAATTTTACAACAGAAGTCACTCAAAGTCTGCCAGTGGTGTTGTTAAGACCCTGAAACACAACCTACAATCAGACCTCATGCATCATTGAAAATATATAAACAAAAGCTAGAAAAAATAACAAAGACAAAAAAATAACACCACCAACAAAGATAAACTCTGGGTTACTCATATATGTTGGATGAACAAAGCAAAATACAGAAGAAAACATACATATGGTCCTATTTATAGGAAGTTCAAAGATGAATTATTTTTAGGAATAGAGACATCTGTGATAAAACTATAAAGAACAAGAGTATGATAAACAAAAACTCAAGGTAGTGCCTACTTGTGCTCAGGGCTCAGGATGAGGTACATGGCCTTTGCAGAAATACTAATATCTATTTCCTACAGGAGGCACTGTGCTGTTATACTTTACACCATACACCTCTCTCCAAACATCCTTCTGTGTGTAATGAATACTTAATGGAAACAACTTGCAAGAAGAGGTGAAGAGGCAAATGAGTGAAACTAGTTTTTAGGACAAGTTGGATGAGTAAAAGACTGCCACAGCCTTCCAAACTCTCTAGCCTGGCAGTCTTTCCCTCCAAACATGCCATCCCAACCCCGGATCTGCCCTTCTATTCATTCCTCTTCGTTCCCGCACTCCAAAACCAGCAATCACTCAGAGCTCCCAGCCATCCAAAGGTGGAGGGAAGTCTCCTAATGTTCTCCTGGAGCAGCAGCCAAGCCTCTTTCTCTCTCTATCATCCTATCCCTCATTAAAATGCAGGCCTCCTCCAGGTGTGAATGACAAGCACATTACCCTGCTCACTCACTGCACACACTTCCAATTTCTGCAGCTTTGATGGGGTTATTATTATATCCAAATATTACTGAAAGCCATTATTACCTGGCTCTTGACTTTGACTTATTTTCTAATATTTATACACATTTCATTATGATAATGGAGCACACACTTAAAACAAAGCACTTCTCTGTCCTCCAATCCAAACCTGAAATCTGCAAAGGCTCCTTGCAGCAGACACCTGTCTCTTCCTCCAACTACAGCCATGCAGCCACAGACCCTTAAGAAAAACCCACAAGTGAAATCTGACATCAGTAGTGCAGCAATTGTCAAGTGCAGCATTGAAGAAGAAAAAATTAAACCTAGCTCCAGTGAGATCTGATCCACCTGGTAGATCATTATCAATAAGGAGACAATTTTCCCCTCCCCTTCACCACCTGTCACAGTGAAAGGTTTTACTATAATTTTAGTGTCTGTAAAATTTTTAAAAATACTGGTTTTTGCATCAGCCACTAGCAGCAAGTTAGGCTCTAACAATAGAAACCTTTCAATAGAGAAACATCAGAAACTAGTAAAATAAAATGTTAATTAATTCTGAATGACCCACTGGAAGAGTCCATCACTTGGTATTCTAAAGCATACTAAAGACGGAGTTGGCAGTAGCGTTAAAAATACAACCACTTACCTCCGCATGTTGCACTACTGAACTGGCTTCCACTGCGTAAACTCTCCTGGCTCCAGCCTGTACAGCAAAAAATGACAGTATTCCTGATCCACAACCAACATCTAGAACAACCTGGAAGGAAAGAAGACATAATAGGGAAGAAAAAACAAACAGGTGCTTGGCGGCTGATCTTCAGACACTAAGGTCAGACTTAAATAAAGTGCTAGCTTTGACATTTACTAGTAGGCCTGCTTTGGCAAAGTTATAAATCTATGAGGCTAATTCTTCTTACATACTTAATGGGGTTAATAATAACACCCAAGGTTGGCTGTAGGCATTAGGCAGTATGAAATATAAGCAAAATACACAGCACATCACCAGTGTTCCTGAAGTTGTTGCTATTACTGTTTTGATTCCTTTGTTACAAGGATTGCTTCAAGGATGCTTAGGGCCAAGAACAGTAAAGTGTCATGAAGGAGGTTGCTCCAGCAAATCTATCAACATGATCAGAATGAAAACTGCCTCAAACAATGTTTTGGAGTGATATACATACATTTAGAAATAACTGATGATAAAGTCTTGTTAAAGCCAAAAATGAGTTAGGTATTTATTTTACCAGGCTCCCTCCACAAAGCTGGGGGATTTTCAATGGCAGGTAGAAGGGCACTAAGGCAGTAAGTTCATGACATTGGTCTTCTACTCTCCATATTTGGATGGAGATGTGACTCCAGAAAATCTCTGTGCACTGGCAAAAGGGGCCGAGTGCTTGAACCTATGTGCTGAGACCCCAGGGGTGGGTGATGGCAGGTACTAGGGGGGTCTCTTCCCACGCACTTCTGAAGCTCATGTCTCAATCTCATCTTAATGAACTTTTAAGTTATTATATTTATATGTCTATTGTTGACTTTAATTCTTAGCATCTTTGGGCACTAGCTGTGAATAGGACATTTTACCTGGCTTTAAATCCTCACAATAAGTACATGAGTACATGGCAGTATTAGGCCATTTACTAGGTGAATAGGTGAAAATCAGAGACACTGAACAATCAGCCCAAGTTTATCTAACAGTTAGTAGGGGAGCCAAGAGCTAAACCGAACATGTCTGCCTCTCAAACTCAGGTTCCATATTATCATACATTGCTTGCTTACATTCATTCTCTATAATGCTGACTTTTGAACATAATATTAGTAGGCAGTGCTTCATGAAAAAGAAATTTGTATATCTTGCTGGAAGTTTGAAAAAATTTAAATTTTTTATAGCATGAAATTATCTAAAAACATAAGCAGTATCAAGACATTTTGTGCATGCGTGTGTCTTAACTGCAAAGTCACGCTGTGCTGACACAGATACTGTACCATCATTCCAGGAGAGCCTGCTGGGAGGAATGGTTTCACCAGGCTCCCTTATATTAATTCTAGAGCAGTGGCTGTATTCCATGTGGTTTCCTAGGGTCTGAGCAATTAGGAGTATTACTAATTTAAAATGTCATCCAGACTCCAAAACAGGAAGTTAGGCTGACTACAATTTTACAAATACCAATATTCTCTTCTCCTCACCCTCCCTAGGAAATGCATCATCCTCACTTGGCCATGGTCCATGGCAGGAGCCCTACCGACTGCTGTGTGGGATGGAAACCATTATTTTGCAGCGTATAACCCATAGCCCAAAGAAAGAGGTGTTGTACTCAGAAGACCCTTTTCAGAGCCTTCTTTGATTTATTTTAGGTTCCAACTTCAAAGCAAAATATAGTTGTGAAACTACGAGAGAATGGAAATTGTGTTCTCGTAACAGGTGCCCTAGAAACGTGTCAGTGATGGTGAATCTTGACAGTAATTTGATGGGCTTGAGAGTCACCTAAGAGATTAGTAAAGTACACTTCTGTGTATGTCAGGGTGGGTCATGGAAGGTGACACAGGGGATTTTCACTGGCTCTTGACCCCTTCCGCTCTGTTACTTTTTCTCTGTGCTTGGCTTCCCAGCTGCCACAAAGTTAACAGCTTTGCTCTGCTACATCCTTTGGCATGATATGTCTGCCTTGGACAAAGGCAACCATGGACTGAAACCTCTGAAACTGTGAGCCAAAATAAACCTCTCCTCCTCCAAGCTGTGGGTGTCAGACATTTCATCCCAGCAACCAGAAAGCTGACCAAGGAAATATCAATGAAGCACATCATCTTAATTTAGTCAACGATAAGAAGCACAACTGAGAACAGTGTTCTTCAGTTCTCACAGCTCTGTAGACTAAAAGCAAAGAAACGTCTTACTTTCAGGGCAGAGACTGAGAAAGGGACTAGAGATAAAAAATAAAGGGACAGAGATGGGAGAGAGCCTGGCACGGGGAAGCTTTCGCCAAATCGGTCCATTGGTAGGAAGACATTTTAATGGACCCAGGCTATTACCCAGAGAAGTGAAAATTTACACATTAAGGCAGTTTTCTAAATATGTTGAGTCAAAATACTTTTAATCATATGATTATTTTAAAACTAGTATACATCTTTTAAAATAATCTTACCTATTTATATCACTCGATAATTCAGTCTGATTCCTGGTTATGTGTATTTTTCATCATATTACTAGGCAGAGAAAGGGAGGAGGTATAAGATATTTTACCTTACCTATTTAAACCATGCAGCTTTGGGAACAATTTCAAGGAGGGCCAAGGATATATTCTATAATGAAAATCTAACCACCAAAGTAAATATCTAGGCACTAATGGAATTACACTGGCAGAGCCCTTTCCAGACGGGGTTTCCAAGACTGCGAGAGGAGGGAAGACACACACAGATAATCCCATTACACATTCTCACCCAGCCCATTGGAAAGCACTGGCACTGGCTGTAATTATATCTCTTTGTTTTGCCAAATTATATTGAACTCATTTTTTAATCATACTATTGGTAACCTTCACAGAACTGGGTATATTTGAGGAACTGGGCAGATGTTAAGTTTTATTTCACGTTCGGGGAAATAATACTTCCCCTCAGGCAGATGCAAAGAGAGTAATAAAACCCTCTCGCGTCCGTGGAGAAGTCTGCAGTTTCCAAGGTATGTTCCCCCGACACAGCATATTTGATCCTCATGCCTACCTGGGATAAAGAGTACACAGTTTTGAGCCCATTTTATTGATGAGGGAATTGAGACTCCAAGATGGTAAGTAGCTTGTTCAAGGTCACAGAGTTGGTGAGTAAGAAAGCTGGCATGGGAACCCAGCGACTAGCCCTCCACACCATGACAGCCCGCCTTTCGTGTAGAAAGAGAAGGGAGAGGAGGGCTATGAAGAGACGCAGACCTGACCTCACACCTCTGATATGAAGCCAGAGGAGGAAGAGAAAGCCGCTCGGTGCATTATCCTGAGTCCCAGCGACCCGGTGGGCACGCACCCCGCCAGCCTCTTCGGTGTTCCTCTCCCCTTCTTCTCATGCGCTCTAGGGTCAGGAGTGACATCCCTCTCCCTGACCCAGGGCCGCTGCACGTGCAATTCCCCGAGACAGGGGCAGCTAACAGCCAACCACAGGCTTACGCTCTCTGGGAGCAGCGATCTGGGGAAGCAACTGCCCAGCCAGGATTGTATTTCCTGCTCCCTTGCATCTCCGTGCACGCCCATGTGATTAATTCTCGCCGAAGGAAAGTCAGGGGAAGTGATAAGTATCATTTCTGAGCCAAAGGGTAAGGGGTCCAGCAAACCTTTCCCCTACAGACTATTCCTTATTTACAGGGGTTCTATAAGATATTTTTGACTTTACAATGGTACGAAAGTGATGTGATTTTAGTAGACACTGTACTTTGAAGTTTGAATTTTGTTTCCCAGATCCGTAACAGGCAGTAAAATGCTCTTTTGGTACCGGGTACACAGAGTGGGCTTTCACTTCCATACAGTCACATGACCACACCGGGACGCCGTCCATACGCTACGGGGTGCTGTGTTATACCAGGAGGCTGTGTAGGTTAGCAGTATGAAAATCATCTTCATTTAACAATATTTTCAAATTAAGATAGGTTAATCAGGAAATAACTCTACTGTAAGCCGAGGAGTATCTGTACTTTGGGGTTCTTAGGTGGTGGTACTGAAGACTACTTGTTGAAGATGCAAAGAGCTTGAATGTCTGAGTCACCACTTTGGGAGAAGCCCTCCAGGGGACCCTGGCCTTGCTATGAACTGGAAATATACTTTACCAAGACAAAATGCTGAGATTTGGAGCTTGCTTGTTCTAACTCCTCGAGTGACACTTAACTACCCTCATCTTTCTACTTGGGAAACTCGGCCTTCGTCCCAGCTCGCTGACTTCCGCATTCAGACTGTGGTGGACTCTGACACCTCACGCGCAGCTCTCTGGAGCTGATGCCTGTGATGCACGTGTCATACGACATGGCAACTGTTTCTTTCCAGGCTTATCTCTCTGCGTAGCCCATGGGCGTCCCAAAGAGAGCCCATCGCACTTATCTCTCAGCACCTAACGAGCACAGTGGGTCATAAATACCATTAATACATTTTGTTTTGGCTAAATGACTGAAGAGGTTGACCCAGAAACAGCAGGCTCTGAATTCCAACATCACCGTGAAGTATCTGAGACAGACCTATGATTTTTTGGCGGCCATTCTGGACTCTGAGAATACTCTGAACTCACAAATCAGCACTCAGAGAGGATGAATTCAGGATACCTTTACCTTAATCAAGATTTATATTCAGAACTGTTTCCCTCAACCTTCTTTGTATTCCCCATCTGTCTTATTGATTTGTTGACCTGCACATCAGCTCATAGACTCTCGCATGCCATTCTTTCCCCCTTATGACCTCCACGCTGCTTCTTTGACTGATGCAAACCCTTTTGACTGAAGCTGTAGTCTGCCCAGTCCTTCTATCCTGACAGAGGCCTTCTTGGAATGTTCTATGCTTGTTTCTGCCACAGGGCCTTTGACACATTGCTCCCTTGAACTGGGTACTCAAAACTACACAAGTACCGTTTCCGGTCTGTCATTTAAACACTTACACAATACCCATTGTACTGGATATTTTCTGTTTTATCCTCTAGATCTAATTTCTACTTTTCTCCAACTTGCTGTCCATCAGTGGGCTTTCTTGCCACTGGACTCTGATTGGGATCAGTCACTACAAATGACAGCAGGAGGCTGGG